TGTCTAGATAGATAAAGCATTATGACAAGATGTTAGCAATGTTGACTACAGGTAATGGGTATATGGATAATCATTTTTTGTTTGGTTTTTCCTTGGCTGACGATAAATTTTGTACATAAATGCAAACACGTGTATTTTTAAAGGGATAAATGTGACAGTTACAGGAATGCATTTGTAAGTTAAAGTTGCAGTTTTAAATGTTTTAAAATGGTTGTGAGTTTCCAGGCTGTTTTGAAAAGAAAAATTTGATTTAAGGTAAGGTCAAACTTTTCATTAACATATCTTTTTTATTTAGAATGACCTTTTTCCAGTGTCAGCTCAGATTTGGTTTTTCCCCCCTCATTGTGGGATATGTATATATTCTGTTTTAGTAATTCTTTAGGAAGACATTAACTAGAGGAGGGTCTTTATGTTCTTTAGAAAAGAAAAACAAGACTGGCTTTTCATTAACCAAATTGAATTACAGGTTTTAGGTGGCTTCTCTGGCAAAATCCTTTTAACTTCAAAAAATCCTGTAGTTCTATGAATATTTTGGTTTTAGATTAGGTGTGTGTTTGTTTTTTTTAATGCTGGGTTGGTTTTAGAAGTTGCTTTTTTCCCCTTGTGGCAGGAGCATGTGCTTCCTGCTTATTTGCCTCTCTTTAGTACACATGTGGCCCAAACTAACAACCAAACCTTGATGTTTCTAATTATTGAGTAATTCTGCTTGCATATTTCTAGGTTACGCTAATACTTTCTTAAACTCAGCATGCTTGGCCTTTAGCAATCAGTTTTGCTTTTTATTAATTTTATAATTACAAACTCTTAGAAGAAGAATGCAAAATATGACATTCATTCTTATGTCTTTAATGAGGATAACACCTGTGTTTTTATTTTCATCATGTCAGTATCAAGTTTTATTTTAAACTAATTTACCTTTATTTGTTCATTTTATGAGAATAGGCAGAGTTTTAAACTATTTTTCTTGAAGAACAAGAAATTAGATTAGACTCAAATTGTAAAAACAAAACATTTCTAGAGTTCATTGTCTTCTCTTGTATAAAATATTAGGTCTTGAGAGTACTTTTTGCACTCTAATAGCTGAATGACCCAATTAACCCATTTTAATACCTCTAAAAAAGACAAAGACCTTTAATTGACACATTAATTACATTTGAATCCCTTCTTCCATGCTTAATGAAAGCATATGAGTTGATGTTAATTTCTTAGAAAATATGCAGTGTTAAAGATTCTAATAAGTTTTTGTTGTTTCAAAGGAAGAAAAATGTACACTAATATAATAATAGCTAAGGTTAAGAATAAAGTATGAAAAATGTGATGGAGCATTTGTCCCCTTGCCTGTTCACAGAGGTGGCAATCTTCTCCAGGGAGGAAATGTACTATTACAGAGGAATGCTTGGTTGGGAGGGGTAAGGGGTTGGGGAGTTATTACCAGAGGATTTTGGGTTGCCCTTTTTAACACCATCTTGTCGGAAATAACAGAAGGCTTTTGGAAAGACTAGAAAGGAATATGTCAGAATGTCAACACAGATCTGGCAAGACAGTGCGAGTATAGATCATTTTCCTTTTTCTTTTCCACATTTTGGGGTTTCCTAATGAAAAAAGGAATTATTTGAAAATTTTAACTTTGGGTGTCACTGCTATAAATTTGACATTTACAATTAAATAGGAAAAGAATAGGCTAATTTTTTTTAAATAAAACCTTCCATTGTTACAGGACTATAACATGTTTTCTGTTTCTGTTCTAAACAGACCTTTGCTCCAACAAACTTTTTCAAATATCCCTAGTCCCAAATCAGACTCTTGTCTGCCTGACTGTTTACTTTTTGCTAAGCCTGTGCTTATTGGGACCGTATGTTATCCTGAGTTATCTTTGCTCGTGATCAGCTGGATTTTTTGCCCTCATATGACCTTTGTGTTAGATAGTATGAAGTGGCAACTTCTAGAGCACTTCAGAGAGCACATCAGTGTCACACAGGCGAGCCTTTTTTTTTACCCCCTGCCTGCCTTCCCTGTTCCAGTGAGGCTGGGAGCATAACAGAATCTTAGAAGATGGAGGTAGCATGGTGTGGCATGGCAGGGGAGGGTGGGTGTTGGTGAGAAAGCTTCATGAGTGATTGGGCCCACCTTGAAATTGAGCTTCTAAGAAAGTAACTGTAGCCTTACAAGCAAGGAAATTTTTTCTTGTGAAACTTAGTGAAATGTTAATGTTCTTCGGAATTTTTAACTTGTATGTTCAGAACTTCAGAATACCTTTTCCCAGAGAAATAGTGTTAGAAAGCCAGCCACACAATAGTCTTTTATGAAACCAAACTATAGTAATATGCCAATAGTATATACCCTGTTGTTTTATGTGAAAACAATTTTCAGTTTCCAACTTAGAAGTCTTGTTGGTAAGGTCTAAAAGGACTTTTTTAATTCATTTACTTGTTCATTTCTCCCCAGTACAAAGCCTACCTGCAATCAAAAAGGCTCTGCTTTCCTCTAAATTTGTATGCCAAAATTGTATAGATTTCAATTGCAAAGATTGTTGCAAATATATATATATTTAACCATCTTATCAGATGTAGCTGCCTGAAATGTAGTATTTTCATCTCCTTGTCTCTTTTGTCTTGCCAGTCTAGACAGCCCCTGATCCATCCAGCTGTATCTTTTTCCAGTGAGCTGTACTCTAGAAGAGTAAAAAAGCCCTGCTGATTTCTCCATAGCCAATTTATGAATTTCTCTGGACCCATAATGCTGCTTGGCAGCAGTTTTCCTTTTTTTCTAATTTGGTGTTTCTCAAACTGGCATTCTGAAATGTTAGTAAGTAGCATGAAAGAAGTGTTGTGTGCCCTGAGAAATCTGTCTAGTGATTCCTTTTTAGGAGATTAATAATGCATATTAAAATATTAAAGCCTTCATGAAGTACAACAGTAATTCTCTTTTTTTAATCCTCTATTTCCCAATTTATTTGAACATGAAGCATTTTTTCTTGAGAAATAGATATCAACAACTCATGAAACAGTGTTTCATAGGACACAAATTTGAGAAATATGTCTGTAGTTGCCTCCTTTATTCTCCAGAGTGGCTGTTCCAGACCTCTACAGTTTTACCTCAAGTCCCCAACCCCATCTCAACCCTTTATGTTTTCAGATATAATCTCCATTTCACCCGAAAATGAATGTCAGCTTCCCACTTATTTTATTAGTGTCCTTATATCCTTTCCTCTTGTCTAGACTTTGTTCTACCGTTACACTGAAACCTGGATGAATTCAGAAAGCATAACATTTATTCACTATTGTACCCCTGACCCCAAACACAGTGCCTCTTGAACCCATATCCCTTTCCAGCAATTGCCTCATTTCTCTGTATTCTGTTTCAACCACAGCTGGCTTTATGGCAATTCAATTCTGGCACTTACTACCCAGAGTTAAAACAGACTCCACAAGTTAAAGGGCATGGTCCCCAACCAGACTGCCCTTACTCCAGCCACCAGCCACACTTTGGGGGTCCCTAGGCCACCCACACTTCTGACCAACTGGCTGTAAATCCTGGCTTTCCATGGCCCCCTCAAAATTGGTAATTCACTAAAATGACTCAGAGCTCAGAGTGTAATCATAACTGTGATTACAATTTTATTACAAAGAATACAAATCAGGAGCCAAATGGAGAGATGCACAAGGCAAGTCTGGGAGGAAATGCAGGCCTGTGCCCTCTCCTCATGGAGTCAGTGTGCATCACCTTCCTGGCACATATGCCTTTACCAACCAGGAAAGGTCCCCTGAGCTTCAGAACCTAGAGTTTTTATTGGGATTTCATCACATAGGCATGATTGAGTTACTGGTGATGTGGTTGACCTCAATCTCCAATACCCCTGTCCTATGGAAGTTGAAAGGTCAGGCTGATATGTGGCTCAAAGCCCCAACCTTCTGATCACATGACTAGTCTTTCTGGCATGGCCAGTCCCCATCCTGAAGCTATCTAGTGAGACCATGGGTCACCTTATTGGCATAAAAAAAGGCATTCCTGTTACTCAGGAAATTCCAAGGATTTAGTCTCCAGGAACCAGGGACAAAGGCCACTCTAAAGAAGGTGGGTGGGGATTCCTGCCTTGATCCTGCATCCCCCTGTAACTACCACTCTTTTTTCCTGCAGTCATTGCCAGACTTATTGAGAGCCTATTTGCTATTCATACTTCCTCACCTCTGGTTTGCTCCTTAATATCATTCACTTATACCAGCTCCACAGAAAGTACCTTGTGAAGGTCACTAAGTGGCCGCCTACTTAGTAAATCCATTTCCTTTCTTAAGTCAACCTGACTTAAGTCAACCTTTCTTAAGTCTAACCTGAATGTTCTGGTCCATGATACTAACCACTCCCTCTTCCGTGATGTCACACTCTCAGTTGACCTGCCTCTCTGACTATTCTATCTCAGTCTCTTTCCTTGTTTGTTCCTGTGTCTCAGATACTGCTGTTTTTGAGAATTTGTTGCTGTGTCCACTTCTCACTAGGAACACTCTCCAGGCAATGACTTTCTTTTCCATATACCTTCTTTGTGCTGATGACTTCCACATTTGGATCTTTAGGCTTGGCTTTCTGACTTTACTGGAATTTCCATCTGGATGTCCTGTAGGAACCTTAAATTTAACATGTCCAAAACAAAATTAACTGTCTTTTTATTATTTAACCTTTCATTACAGATATTAATAGAATATAGCCCATAGGGGAATTGTAAGGATCAAATGAGATAATAAACTAAGTAAAATTCTGGCACATAGAAAGTACACAATACACAGTAGCTATTACTCTTACATGACAGTCTCCCATGGCAGCAACCAAGCCCTCAAACCTAGCATTGACCTTGGTTTGTAATGGATGCATAGTGAAGGTTTGTTGAGTTAAAATGAATAATAATAATAATCTGTTGGATAAAGAGTTTGTATAACTATCTGATTTAGCTTAATCATATTGTCTACTTAAACAGTAGGCAACATCAGGTGTTTATTTTTTCTCCCTAGGTGCATTGTGTTGTAATCATTCAAAGGATAACCAAATGTGCCATGATGTATGTGAACAGGTAAGCTTACATAATAATTGTAGAGGCTCTTAGTTATATAACTGTTTATTAAGTATAATTGTTTTGGAGAAATGTGTTGGACAGCACCTTAACCAAGAGATCAGAGTTCACATTACCAATAATGGAATAGATTTAACATGTGTATGCTGACTTAAGACACTGAAAAGAGCACAGTGTCTTTAGTAGGATTCTTGCCAAAAATGCATAACCTGAATCATCAGAAAGCAATAGTGAAACCGTGATTGAGGGATATTCTTCAAAACAACAGCCTGTTCTCTTCGAAGGTATCAGTGTTAGAAAAAGGCTAGGAAACTTCCAGATTAAAGAAACTAAAGAAGCATGACCACTAAATGCAACTCATGAGCCTGGATTGGATTCTGGAATAAAAAAAGATTGCTATAAAGGATGTCATTGGGATAAATTGGTAAAATTTGAATATGGACTGTAATAATATTGTATCAATGACATCTTGAATTCGGTGATTCTATTGTGGTTTGATAGTGTCTTTGTTCTTAGGAGATACATGCTGGGGTTAAGGAATGAATGATCATGTCTATAATAAATTCTAAAATGTTTCATCAAAATAGAATATGTAGTAAGTGTTAAATGTTGTGAAAAGTAATGAGTGAGTCTAAATGAAGGCTATGTGGATGTACGTTGTGCCATTTTTGAAACTTTTCTGTAGGTTTGAATTTTGCTGGTTGAGCCTTTTTAGGCAAGTTCCCCTGAGACAATGCCTGTTTGTAAAGTTTTATCTTCTTTAATCATCTTGATTGTATAGTTCTAGGCCTAAGCACTTGGGACTTAATGGCGTCAGTCATCTTTTGGAGGAGTTCTCAAATAATAATCTGGATTTTGTCACTTTCTAAAATTTAGAGAGCTACATAACTGGGATTAAAACTTCTCTCAAACAGTATTTTGAATTTAGTAAGAATTTACAAAATACTCTAGTTATAAAATAAGGCAGTGACTCAACTCATCTGATGGCTACTGTAGAATTCATGTCAAAACACTATAGTAAATTACATTTTCTGCAAATTTACTGCTGGAACAATAGCTTTTAATAGCAAAAGTGGCCCCTTGATGGTGTCACTGAAAGGGAGCTTTTACGGTAGCTCTGCTACTTTTGAAAGCATTGCTTTCCTGATTTTTTGCTTTGTTTCCTCTTGTTTTTTCCACTGGTGTTCCATGGGGTGATTGATTTTTATGAGGCCTCTGCAGTAGGCAAGGTCTAATTTCTTAAAATCTGTATTTAAGTGAACACTATAGTCACCTTAATAAAGAACAGTCTTCCCTGACCAAGTTCTTAACAAATGAGAGATAAGGCAAAGGAATAAGGCAGATAGGAACCCAGATATTACTTCTCTTACTAGTTACCCAGATGTTGAATGTACTTTTATATCCAGATACACACTAACCTACAGAATTAGACAATCCCAGAGGCAGAGAAGGAAGGGTTGGGTTACACATGTTTGCTTCCTCCGAACAAACTTAACAGTCAGAGAAGTCAGGCATCCCAGTTACTGGTAGAGTGAATGAGTGTGGTGTGGAGAGAGGCCAGACTGCCAAGACTAGCAGAGCTCGCTCAGAATAAGACTGTGTATCAATCATACCTTAATAAAAAATTTAAAAACGAAAAAAAAAAAGAAATGCCAGGAGTGAAAAATCATTATTTATTCAACCCATAGGAAATGAAAAAAGAATGGAGTCCTAACGACATACAGGTTTTGAGTTGCAATGAATAGTCTACCCTGATGGCTATAGGAGGCTGGGGAAAAGATTTGGTTTCAGGGGAAGGTGAGTTGCTGAGCTGTCAGTGGACAAAGAAACCACAGTATGAAGACAGTTTGGTGATTTGGAATTAAAACTTTAAGGACTGGAATCTAGATAATAAGTGAGGGCTGGTGTTTTATGATAGTAAAATAAGGTGTCAGGTGCCAAATGAAAGTCATGAAGTTTGAGAAAAGAACTTTTTAAGTTTTAAAAAGAAGATAGTTAGGGGAGACAGTTATTCTAGAGAGGTGATGGTTGTTTCCTTTGTTTATGCTGAATCCCCCAGTGCTTAAAGTAGTGCCTAACACTCAAAACTCTAAATAAATATTTCTAGATTGATTGGAGTAGTGGGGCTAAAAGTCATATGGCAGGGATTTAAACTTTTTTTATTTAAATTTATTATGTACAGAATGTGTTCAGTTTTATGTTATGTCTTATGTTCCCAATTACATTATAAATTCTTTGACTTTAGAGACGTATCTTACTCATTTTTGTTGTACTCATACCCCTGCTCCTGGAAGCTGATCAGTGAATGTTCGTATGTTGATTGATGAAGAAATGGTTGCAATGAAAGGAAAAAGTAGGATATTAGTTGAAGTCAGTAAGTCAGTGCAGGAAAAGATTTGTTCCAAGATGAGAGGACTTTGCTAGTTGGAAGACAAAGGGAAATGAGTTAAGACAGAGGGAGGAGGTAAGTATGGGTAAAGAAACCTCTCAGGATCAGGATTGTAAACCCTGTGATCTGATTTTTTCTGCCTTGAATGGGGTATAAGTTCAGTCTTTAAATTTTTTTGCTATGAGATGATTTGTATAATCATAGCATATATATCTGGGTAAGCGTTCATCTTTCTTTTTAGGTGTGATTGCTAGTTGTTTAGTGAGAAAAGTAACTGCTTATGTTTGTGTACGTTGTTATCTGTAAGTATATACGTGCTGCCTTCTTTCAGCTAAATGTATTTCCAGTAACTGTGTTTTTCAGTTTAATTCATTCTCCTTAATAGAATCATCATTTTAAGACAGAAGGGACCTGACAGATTGCCCAACTTCTTAGTTTTGCTTGTTAGTTATTCAGGAAACTGGAATCTGGCAAGCAAAATTTTCTATTTTTTCCTGATGTCCCAAGATGTATTGTTTCATTTACTTCTTACATCAGGTCCTTGAAGGAAATAATGTTGCTATCTGCATTTTATAGGTGAGGAAATTGAGGTATAGAAAAGTTACTAACTTGACAAGTTCTCCAAGCCGGTAACTTGAGGAGCAGAGGCTCAAATCTAGATGTGTTTGATTACCAAGTCCATGCTCTTAGCCACCAGGCTATGGCCAAGAAGGCTGTTAGGCTCACTGTTCTTCCCGTTGTTCTAAATGGTTTCAAGTACTTGTAGGTTTTCTGCTTTTATTTTCTGGTATTCTGTTTTGTGAGAAGATGGAGTTGAGAGAAGAGGGAATGGATCCTGGCCTTCACCGTGCTGCTTCCTGAAAGGAAAAGAGGGGATGCCAACTCCATAGTCCAAATCAGGTTTATTGCTAAACCTGAGAGGGACCTCTGTTCTGGCGAGCAGAACAAAGGGGGGAATAAAGGGTCTCTAACAGGCCAAGAGGCTTTTTATGGCCAGAGTTTTTGGTGGGCTCTTTGAGGGGAGGGGTCAGGGAAAAGGTGGGCTTGTGGCTTGCTGACATGTCCTCGGAGAATGCTTGTAGCCTAAGGTGAAACCTAGGTCTCTCTGAGATGGTGGACGGGCTTATTCCAAAAGGCGGTACTCTTGTCCAAATTCTGTCACTTCCCATTCCACTACCAACAACATGTTCATTCTTTCTTTTCTTTATTTCCATTCTCTTTTTCACTCTTTCCTACCTTTCATTGTTGTCTTTTCCATCTATTTTTTTAAATTAAAGTATCATTGATACACAATCTTATGATGGTTTCAGATACACAACACAGTGTGGTTCAGGGTTCACCCATATTATCAAGTCCCCACCCCCTCCATTGCGGTCACTTCTATCAACATAGTAAGATGTTATAGTCATTAACTATATTCTCCGTGCTGTACTACTGTCCCGGTGACCTGCCTATATTGTGATTGTGAATTACAGTGCCCCTTAATCCCCTTCTCCCTCCCCACCCTCTCCCCTTTGGTAACCGCTAGTCCCTTCTCAGTGTCTGAGTCTACTGCTGTTTTGTTCCTTCTGTTTTGCTTTGCTTTTATACTCCACAAATGAGTGAAATTATTTGGTATTTGTCTTTCTCCATCTATTTTTCTTTTCATCTTTTTACAGTGGGAATTTTCAACTACACACAAAGGTAAAGAAAAGTATAATAAACCCCATATTCAGCTTCAGCTATTAAGTCAAGGCCAGTTGTGTTTTCATTTATGCACCTACCCCCTCCTCCCTCCTATTATATTGAAGCAAATCTCAGGTCATATCATCTGATTCTTAAATTTTAAGTTTGTATCTATAAATTATAAGTACTAGGAAAACAAACTATAATACCATTATCACTTCTTAGAAAATGTGATATTCAAATATCTAGTTGTCTTTCAGATTTCTTAATTGTTTTGTAACTTTTTGTTTAGTTTTTGTTCTTAGTTTGAATCAGGATTCAGGTGAGGTACATGTATTGCAATTGGTTATATGTCCGTATCTTTTGATCTATGAGTTTCTCTCCTTGTACTTTATCTGATGAATAAATCTGGTCATTTGTCCTGCAGAGTTTCCCAGTCTGAATTATGCTCTTTGCATCCTCATGGTATCATTTAATGTGTTCCTCTTTCCTCTATATTTCTTAGTAACTGGTAGGTAAACTTAGAGCATTCTGTGTTTGTGATCCAACACAGTAGGCACTAGGCACAAGTGCCAAGTGAACACTTGAAATGTGATTAAGGAGATTAAGGAATAAAATTGCAGTTTAATTTTAATTGATTTAAGTTTAAATTTAGATAGCAACACATAACTAGCAGCTACCTTTGGAAATGGACCCAGAAGCTTGATCAGACTCAGGTTAGGTTTTGTTTTTGTTTAGTCTATTTGGCAAGTCTTACTCATAAACGGTTACTGCGTCTGGTTGTCTCTTTTTGTATCATTACCTGTCATTGTTGGTAATTGGCTAAGTGCATTAATTCATTAATTCACTAGGGGTTGCAAAAAAGTAGTAGTCTAGCTCTCTTCACCTATTAATTGTTGGTAGTTTTGGAGAAAAATGACTGCCAAAACTAACTGAAGGTAAATCCTTTTTCATTGTCCTTAGTACTATGGATTTTTACAGTCTTGACTATTTGCATATAACCATGCAGGTTTGATATATATAATGATTATAATTTACTGGGACATTGAATTATAGTTGCATTAATAAAAGTCCTATTTGAAAGTGAGCCAGTTAGCCTGGTGAGTGAACCTGTCGGCTCCTCCGCATCTTTATTAAAAAATAATTTTGTCTCTATTTTATGGCATTTTCGGGAGAAGTTATACCACAATGCTATTCACAAATTTGTTCTTCACCAATGTCAAGGGTGTGACCTAGTCTGTTTTTTATTGTGGTCAGTTGACTGAAAGCGTTTTTTAGGACAGCTTAGGATAAATTTATCTTTTTTTTCTTTCTTTGACTGTTTTCATGTCTCTTCCTCTCCCCTATCCTTAAAGGTGGTAGCCTGGTTTTCTCTGGTTTTTGACAGTAGAAAAGGGTCTAGACTTGCTCTATTTGGACTTTCTTGATTATTTGCCAAACTAACAAACCTTTTAAGAAATATTATCTCAGCTTTAACTTGGGTCTTTCCAAAGGTTTACCATTTATAAATAGAAGTTGAAAAATATTCTAGACAACTGATAAATCTAGAGGAAAACAAATTTTATCTCTTATTTCATATGAAAAATGTCACAAAAACTTTTTTTGTATGTCAAATAGATATTCTCCTCAAAAAGTGAATCCCGACTAAAACATCTGTTGCAGCGAGCTCCAGATTATTGCCCTGAAACGATGGTAGGTCTTGTTTAATTTTACTACAGAAGCTTTTGTCTAAGGATCACTTTTATTAGCTTTAGTGAATTTATCAAAACGATTGGGGTGTGTAGTCCAAATGATAGATTGAACTAGATACTTTAAAAAGACCTTCACACAAATTGCTGGATAGGATACTGTCCTCCTTTTTTTATTGTTTATTCTATAGTGCAGGTATAAGAACAATATTAAATGTAAATGCAGTCTAGTCTTTAAATTTCATTGTAATAGTTTATCTGAAACTTGGAATTTTACTTGTTATTATATTTTGATGATTTTATGAAAACCATAATAATTCTACTCATTTTGTTTTGAAAGTTGGATTTGGGATAAGGGAAAATATATGACTTCTCATTATTCCTATCTTCCCATTTTCTGGTATACTATAGATATATTGCTTGCCTGTTGGAATCATGTAACTTAAAATGTCTCTAATGCTCGGGCCATCCTCAGTATTTAGGATGCTCATGGGCCAGGCTAAGAAAGTCTGCTTACATGAGAGAGCCTCTTTGGATATGGTAGCTTGCATGACATGTAGCGGGAAAAGTGATCAAACAGTTATGGATGACACATTTTTCCTTAGTCACTCCACAGACACTTTTGTCATTGTGCTTAGAAACAGTGGTTCCAATAAGTATCCTGCGTAAACCCCATCCTTAGTGCTCTTAGATGATGGGGAAAGAACAAGCAATATTTCTATATCTCAGTTTTATTTTTTCTTCCCTGAATAGCTGCTTGATACTCATATAGTTCTAGAACATTGACTGTCTAGAGACAAACATAATCAAATTAGCTATACATAATTTCTGTAGAAAATGTCATACTTAGGAACTCATTATCTACATAAAAGCCTTTTGGTGATTACAATTTTAGGTTGAAATTTGGAGTTGTATGAATTCATCTTTGCCAGGTAAGCAATAGAAGTGTAACATTTAGCACTTTATTTTTAAAAACTTATTCTGAGATTGTAAAATCTGTGTCATAGTCCTATAACCTAATATATCCTTGAGTTTGTATTCTTTCTCTTAAGCAGCTGAATTTTCAGATGTATAACTTACTCTTATTCACTTGATACTTAACAGTATGCTTGTCTCTGCTGTTGGCCCCATAGTGAAACTGGTCTTGAAAAGATCACCAGGATCTCTTGGTTCCTATATCTTAAGGTTTTTTTCTCAGTATTTACTATCTTTGATTTCCCTATGATACTTGATATTATTGACCACTACCTCCTTGTGACTCCACCTTGGCCTTATGACCTTGTCCTCTCTTAACCTCTTTCCTCTTTAACGCAATAAAATGGTTATTCCTCTGTTTGGTCCTCTTCCACACTGGCAATCTCTTTACTTCCCACAAGTGTTAAGTAATCACCTCTAGGAAGACACCTTTCAAATTCAAGTTATCATTTGTGACTTCTGGACATCTCTACCTGGATCTCTGCATCCAGGTGACATCCAAAGTGCAAATCTAAAACCAACTTATTTTACAGCTGCCTGTCATGAATGACACTAGACTGGAAACCCTCAAATTTTCTTTGACTGCTTTTTCTTTTTAGCTCCATTGACTCTTCCCTTTTAAAATCTTGCATCTGTCCTTTCTTCTCCTAGTTCAAGCCTTTATTATTGCACTCTTGGGATAGTAGATTTTAATAACCTTGTAACTGGTGTTTCAACAGATCATAGCTGTCCTCCCCAGTACCTCAGGGGATATCCACTTCCATTGGATAAACTCCCTAGCCTGGCATTTATGGTCTCTGGGATCGAAGCTCATTTTCCAGTCCTGGTTAAAGCCAGTGCCTTGAAAAGATATCTGAGTATGTCTTATGCATGTCTGAACTCTAAAAGGCTTTCACATTGTTTGAAGTTTGCATTTCAAACAAATTGCACTATTTTGCCTTCCTAGAATTTCCCATGTCCACACATATACACACAGAGTTTCTACCAAACTATATTCCCCATAATGGGATAAATCATATACTTTATTTCATATCCCTCATAGTAACTAATGGAGTGCCTTGTACATAGTGGGGGTCAGTGAATGTAAATGCTTGTTGAGCAGTTTAATATTTTCTAAGAGACTGCTGGGTATGTGGAAACAGCAATATACTGCATTATTGTAGTTTACAGAGTTTATGACCTACATTGATTCCATTCAGAAGTCTTTCTAAAATGTGAGTGATTCTGAATAGCCAGCAGCAGAGGAAGCTATACTAGGCAATGGGATTAGAAGGGAGTCTGTTACCCTTTGTACCCTTAAAAAATATAGGGATAAGAAACTTATGGGTACGTGGTATTTTTAGCCATTTTTAATAATTGGGGTGGTTTATAATTATGCTTTGAGAACTTTGTGGGGCATTTGCTTTGCTTCTGTCTTGTTTTTTAGCAAAGAGTGTTTGTATTTGTATTAAGTCCTAATTTTATTTGGATCCTTGACATTTTTTAAAAATTAAATATAATTTAGTGTACGTGTGGATTTATAGATCTATGTATTACATGAAAGCAGCATAATGCATTTCTGAATAGATAGGAGGAATTTGCAGCATCCTTATAGGCATAAATCTTTAAATCTTTTCATAATTGTAATTTGTGTCTTCTAATTTTACATTAGGAGTCATTCATTGACATTTATGATTGCAAAAAGGGACATTAAAAATGCATTAAAACACTTGTAAATTGTGTTACCTTTTGGTATCACAGTAATTTGGTTGAAGAAATAGCTGCTGTGCATTGAACCAGAATAGTCATTTTGTCCTATAATTAAGTGTATCCATCAAAATCAGTCCTCGTTCACAGGAGATACTCCAGTCATTTACTGTGTATCAGGTTTTAAAGAGAAGAGTATCGTGGGTTTTTATGTATTGTGGGCATTTAATTTGAATACAATGATACTTATTCCCTTTTTGTTTGCTTTTTAAGTTAAATTGGAACCTTTGCCCCCAATTCACAGTCTCAAGGTGAGGAAGGCTTCTCCTTGCTTTCCGTAACCTGTATATCCTCAGAGATGTTGCCTACCTAAGAGTGAGAATGACCTAGAGAGAGTTTAGGGTGGGCAGAGAGAAAGAAAAAGGACCTTGTAATTCAGCTGTGAGGGACCCTGAGAAGACTGATAGCATTGGGAGAAAGGGTTGGGGGAGGGACTTAATAATTATGAGGCCCTACTGTCTGAACTAGTTTTCCTATGTTCACCTCCTTTGACTTTTAGTGATATCCATGATCCAGTCTGGCATGCTGTTTGTGTTTATCACTACTTATGACCAAAACACTTGAACATTCTTTTTTTTTTTTTGACACAGGAAACACTTTTATTTATTTATTTTTTTTGAGAGGGCATCTCTCATATTTATTGATCAAATGGTTGTTAACAACAATAAAATTCTGTATAGGGGACTCAATGCTCAATGCACAATCATTAATCCACCCCAAGCCTAATTCTCATCAGTCTCCAATCTTCTGAAGCATAACGAACAAGTTCTTACATGGTGAACAAATTCTTACATAGTGAATAAGTTCTTACATGGTGAACAGTACAAGGGCAGTCATCACAGAAACTTTCGGTTTTGATCACGCATTATGAACTATAAACAATCAGGTCAAATATGAATATTCGTTTGATTTTTGTACTTGATTTATATGTTGATCCCACATTTCTCCTATTATTATTATTATTTTTATTTTTAATAAAATGCTGAAGTGGTAGGTAGATGCAAGATAAAGGTAGAAAACATAGTTTAGTGCTGTAAGAGGGCAAATGTAGATGATCAGATGATCAGGTGTGTGCCTATGGACTAAGTATTAATCCAGGCTAGACAAGGGCAGCAAGACATCCACGGATGCAGAAGATTTCTCTCAAAGCAGGGGGGGTGAGGTTCTGAGCCTCACCTCTGTTGATCCCCAAATTCTCACCTGATGGCCCCCCTGCGACTGTGCCTGTCTTAGGTTGTTCCTCCCTTGAGGAATCTTACCCGTCTCTGGCTAACCAGTCATCTTCCGGGGCCATACAGGGAAATGTAAAGTTGGTAAGTGAGAGAGAAGCCATATTGTTTGAAAAGGTTAGCTTTTTACTTCTTTGCAGATTTATGCCCTGTGGCTTCTATGCCCAGCACTTGTCTCGAGGTATCTTTACCACCTGGAGGAATTATGATACTCGGTAAATTCGATATGAGGCACGAATTCTATTTAAGGGTTGTAATTAGGAAGGAAGAAGAAAAGCTATAGAAGTAGCAGATGGAAGAAAACATGGGAAGATTATTTCTGTGACATATCTTCTTGTGGAGTAACTTAAGCATGTATAGGTTTTAAACTACTAATTAAATTGCATGCACACATTAACATAATAGGAATACAGTTACAACACTTGAACATTTTGTTTTTAAGGTGTGTTTAAGAAGTCTGATGGCTGGGTTGGCTTAGGCTGCTGTGAACTGGCTATTACCTTGGAGTGTCGACAGGCATGCAAGCAGGTAACACAGGGCAATCAAGCTTTTAAGCAGCGTGGAGTACAGTGTTTGGCTGTGCATATGTCATGGACCTCTCCTGCCTCATACCTTTGGAGTAGTGACCCATAAAAGCTACAAACTTAGTGTTTCTTGCATAGACCCTTCCTTTTAGACTTGCTACTTTTTCAGTTATGGCTGCTGCACGTAACAACCTCAGCTTTGTCTTATTCTTTCTTAATTTCTCTCCACTGTGTAAAGAAAGAATATTATAGGAATCAAGGCATTTTGTCCTTTGCCTATGGTCAATGCTGAATGACTCCAAAAGGTCGTGTAAACGTAGTGCAGTGTGCATGGGAGCAGGCGCAGTTGGCTTACGTCCTCTCTGTTCTCTTTCATCATGGGTTTGCCCTGAGCACGTTCTATCCCTACTCTGCTCCGAAGGTGAGAATGACTCCCACAGTAAGTTATGACTTCTCTTTGATTTGATGTATCTCTGTCCAGTTCAAGTTAGGCCCCTGAATTCTTCTTCACTGTATATTTTCATAGTGGTTTCTCACAGTGCTTTGAGAAAACTGGTCTCCTGGCTTCTCATACTCTAGATGGTGAGAGTAGACTAACTGGGAAATCCAGGTGGACTTGAAACCACAGCTGGAAAGCCTTCTCTTACTTTCTGTTTCTAGTGACTGGTCTCTGAGCAGGAGTGTATGAGACACGGTACCATCTTCACTGTCATCCAGACCACCATGCTGTGTAGCCTGAGCAACACTCATTGGGCAGCACACAGCCTAGCTATCTGATGCTCTTCTCCAGACACTGAAATACAGCTGGGTGGCAGAAGATTTGGACTCTAGTCAATCCAGTGGGATGTAAAATAGTTGCCAGTCCATTTTGTTTCTTGCTCTTCCTGTCCTCACCAGCTAGCCTGTTGAAAATTGCTTGAGCCTTGGTGATAGAACCAGAGTGATAGAACAAGGAACAGAGCCCATGGCTCTAGAACTGTCTCTCTAAGTGGGGACTGATGCCATGTGGAAGAATAACCACCCCTTAGCATATTTGTTTGGGTTTGCTTTATGTATTTCCCTGAGCATCAGTTTCTTCTGTAGAAGGGACAGTATCTTCATAAACTTACTAAGAGAATTACATAAAAATAACATTTGTTAATTGCCTAGCATAGCCTTTCCCTCTTTAGCTATCCCCTCCATTTTATATGGATCTTTTCTGAGAAAATTGGCTCATAAGTCAGTATGAGAACTTAGGATATGAAGGGTTAAAGAAAAAGAAAAATATAAATACTCTGGCAGAGCTTCAGAAGAAAATTCACTGCAGCAGAGCTTCACAACAAAATTTGCTACAGAGTGAAATTCAGCTTAAAAAAGTTCTCTAGCATATGAAGTAGGCTCTGGGGCTGTTTGTTTTAAAGAAATTGCATGAAGTTTGTTTGTTGTATTTTAGGAACTTTTAAATACTTGAGCATAGTTGGTGAAATAAAGACTACTATACCAGCAATTAACCTTAGTAATTTGTGTTCTTTTTTAAATCTATGCTGAAGAGCATGTGTAATCAATTAATGGAAAATTTATTATCTTTTAGGCATCTTCAAAAAATGATATTTCCAAAGTTTGCAGAAAAGAGTATGAGGTATGCATTTTATTTAACAAAATTGGGTAGACTATTCAGATGTTCCCAAAATTGATAAAAATCACTTAAATTTTAACAGTGAATCATTCTTACATAAATTGCTTTTTGCCTTACAGAAAATACATCCTTTACAAAAATATTATTGTCCTTGTTTAGAAATGTTACGACTTTGACTTGTTGAAATACAGTATTAATAGAAAGAAATCATAGATACAGAGGATTTAACCTATAATGTTTTCATAATAAAGCAACTGGTTGTTTCCAAGGCTGTAAAATTGTTTTTCTTAGGTTCCATATCCTCTTTTGCCCTTTTTCCTGTACCTTGATCCATCCAGGTATCTATCTTTATAAACTCCCTCTAATCAGAAGGAACAGAATCACACTGTCAGTGTGTGTAACGACTTTCGTAGCATTTTGCATTTGGGGGAAAAAGGACTAAATTACAATGGCTGTATTAAATGTAAAGGACTCTTGTCTCCCAGTGGTGGTACTTCAAGCACTGTGGTATCTAAATGGAGGAGTATTAGGGCAGGGATAGAGGAGGTATTTCATGTAATACAGATATGTACAGATACAGATTGTCCCTGATGTGAAAAACTCCTCATTGGGACTACTTTGTTCATAGTGTAAGACCATATAATTAAAGATGCTTAAGTGCATGTGCCTCATTTACCATACTTATATATGAACATTAGGACTCCTGTTTTTTTTAATAGTATGTATTCTCTTGGAGAAGAACAACTCTCATAACTGCTTCTAGATTTTAGTTCTGATTTTTTTTCTCAAAGCCTATAATTGTCTCTTAATTTTTTTGGATTGAAAAAATCTCATTTAACTTTTGTCCCTTTGTACTATTTGCTGTTATATCTTTTTCTCTGAAGACAAATTTCCAAATTAACTGCAATTCTCTGTTCTTATTGAAAGGAACCTTGCTACAAAGAAATGAGAGCTTTCTTTTTTTTCTTACCTCTCTACCTTTGAAATAACTAGTTTTAGTTTCTCTTGAATGAAGTGGCTAATTGTGATAATTCCTTCTTTTCTCCCACATGATGTCTGACACTGTCCATCTCCTGTAGCCTGTCCATTATTTTAGTGTGCTTCCTTCTCTTGTCTGGATTTCTGCATTGCCCTAGGAAGTCTGCCAGTATGTGTTGATGAAGGACGGGACAGGAAAGGTAAGAGAGAGAAATGCTGTCCTATGAGAGAAATACTAAGAGTAGTTTACTTTTCCCAGTCTGTCCTCCCTTATTTGGTCTAGAATTAAGCAACTGTTTTCCAAAAATCTACATGCCAAGAGGATTCTTTTGTATGTATATGTGTGTGTGTGTAAAAAATATACATAATATATATTAAAACCTGACCCTACAAATTATCCAGGATAACTCAAGACTGATTTCTTATATATGTTATTAAGAAATAAAAAAAGAGAAGAGAGCACCTTAATGCAGAAAGAGTATTCTGCATTATAAACTCCAATTAACAGTCGCTTTCATGATTAATGAAGTCTAGGCTTAGAGAAATAATGGCTATTTATTTTAATGTAAATTGGGCAACTTTGGGTGTAGTGCAACCTATTTTAACTGGACTGGTTGTTCATCAACATTAGAATAATTTGTAAAACTAGGTTTTTAGTATCTTACCTTACCACTGGAGTGGTCCCTGGGGTGAACATCTAGATGTGTAAGCTATTCCTTTAAGGCTTACAATTTTAGGAGTTAGCATGTACCCTGAAGGATGGTTTTGTGTAGTTTGATTAAAGATTCAGAGAGTGAACAATTACATTTGGAGGAGCTAATATTTATTTTTACTGGTAAACTGATGCAGAAACCCCTTTTGAGGGGATTTCCTGAGAAATAGACTTAAATGAACAAAGTTAAAAAAATTTTTTATGCCATTTAGGGTTCTGTTGTCCAGCCAGACTATGATAAGCCAGTTAAGTGTAAAGTATTGTTATGTCTGACTTTATAACATCTGGTTTCTTTCTTATAGAAGTCAACAAATATTAGACTACCAAGGGAGGGCTGTGTATATATATATATATGTATATGAAGGAGCACAGACTTTGGAGTCAGACCTAGATTAGAATTCTGGTTAATCTACTTGTAACTTAACTTTGAATACTAAAAAAAAACTGTATCTATTTGAGTCAAGACAATTAACATATATACTGCACACACAAGGGCCCAGGGAAATTAGAAAGCAGAGTGAGCATTTGGGGAGTTATCAGTGAAAACTCTGTGAAGGAGAGAAGCCTGGAACAATTGGTATTAATTTGGATCAATAGCATGTTAACAAAATGCACGTGACTTGTGCAGGGGGCATAAAGAAGATAGGCCTAATTTGGGGCTGATAATCTGTGCTTGGATAGGCAGGCAGTGTGGAACCAGATCCTGGAAAGATGATGTTTGGGGGCTCAGCCCTTTAGTAAGTAGAGGGAGATGATGAAGATTCTGTAATAGGAGGCCAACATAATAAATAACAAATTTGATATTTTAGAAAGGTTAAAGCCTTAGTTATGTACACACTGTTTTTAGATCCCCCAAACCACTCTTAGTTAAACACAGTTAAGAACCAAAACTAGGATGATAACAGTAGAATCAAGTATTCAGGAATAAATCAGAGATTCGAAGGTAGAATCCATTAACAGGATTTGTGATGGATTGTAGATGATGTTCAGGGAAATATAAAAAACAATTATTAGTGAAAAGACAGGTAGAACTGAAGAAATTATATGGAAAAGCAGCACAGAGGAATGAACTTAGAGGTTAAGGGACATGAAGGATAGAGAAAGTGTTATAGTTGGAAAACTAGAAGATGAAGAATGTGGGGCAGAGGTAATATTTAAAGAAATTAGACAGATCCTCAGGAGTTTTTAAAAAGAATCCACACATTACAGCCAAAGACCTTAAAAGCAATCCAAAATAATAAAAATAAAAAAGACACTGCCTTCAAAGGAGACCAACAACTGATTTCTCAAAGCAACAGGAGGCAGAGACAGTAGAATGTCACCTAAACTGTTCAGAAAGAAAATAACTATCAACCTAGAATTCCATATCCAGCAATAATCCTTTTTCAGTAAAGTGGGCAAAATTAAGATATTTCCAGACACCAAAAACAAAGACTTGCCATTACTAGATTCTTTCTAGAAGTCCTCTAAGGGAAGTTCTAAAATATCTGTAATTATTTGAGATGCAAAATGAGAATGATGAAATACAAAGTGACTGAGTTAAAACACACAGATTATATAAAACAATAATAATGTATTACTGAGTTTTTAAAAGAGAAAGTACACAGCAACAAAAGCATGTATATTTGGAAAGGAGTTTAAAGAAATTCAGGTTATTGAGTGTTAGGTCTTTTTAAATGTAAAAACTCCTATCTCAGAGGTAGTTAGGAATACAGGACTAAAAATAAGGAGAGGTACCATGACCAAGTCGACTGTGAAGTAACCCTTGAACACTGAGATAGAAAGAAAGCTCTATAAAGGGGAAAGTATAGACAGAAGTAGGGAGCTAGGTTTTTGAAAATTATTTTTTTAGGAACTGGAAGAGAAGGAGTCAGATACTGATCTGACATTTTAATAGGAGGACCCTACCTGTGTTCAGTGAGAATGTTAGAATGAGATAGTCGAAGAAAAAGAAAACTTCTTATTACAGGAAATGTGCATGCAAAGACTTATTGGATCCACATATTGTGGAGGGGATTTCTACAGTGGACAAGAGACTAAGCTAATGATATCCCAACTCTTCAGTTCTCTTATTCTGACCCATACTTAAGAAAGTACTTCCTTTAGCATGTAGGAGTACTTCTTTCAGAATCACTCCTGTTTGATTAGAGCTATCAGAATCAACCAGTGACTTGATAACTCTGACATGGACATGTTCAAGTGTCATGGCATGCTCAGTTCTAGGTTCTCCTTGCATCACTGGTTTGACCCTTGGACCTCTTAGTAGTATTGGTCAGGGCTCATGGGTCTCTGATGTTAGAACCAGGGATGATATTCAGAATATTCAGCAACTGGAATGATAGAGGCACCAACAGTCAGAACAGATGCTAGTTGTAAATCATCGGTATAGCCATACTTCTGCACCTTGACTGATAAGATCTAAAGTAAAAACTAATTCATGTTTTCCGTGAGGTATGAGACATCCATCTAGTGTAATTCTTTTTATAGTCTGTCTATAAGTTGGCTGGAAACATTTTCTTCTAGCCACTGAAATAATGATTTAAAAGAAAAAAATTGGTTGTTGATAGTTATTTTCTTTCTTGAACGTCAGGGTAAACTCCAAGGTGATGTGAAGCTGTTGAGTTTCCAGAGACTTGTTAATGGCTGTAAAGTAATGAGACAAATTTTAGTTTCAGGTTCATAAATCCATTTCAGATCTTTAATGTCAGACCTTATCTGCCTGCCATTCTTTTAACTCAGTGGCCATAAACATAAATACCTTTCCATTTGCTGCATGAGCCACTGAAATGCTACAAATTTGTCATCAGACTTTTACATATTTACTTGTTTCTTCCTTATGTCATAGGTCCTTATCTATGCTTTTCTTTATATTCTTTTCAGAAATATCATTTTCAGTTCTTTCTTCGCCTACTCCGTTCCAGTCATTTGATGTTGTTTCATTAAGGAAAATGAGAAACTATAAAGGAAAGTCAGTGGGAGATATTTTTGTGAGGACTCACTTTTTAAAAAATCTTAGGGCATTTAAGTTTTAAACTAAATAGTTGCTAAGCAAAACCGAAATAATGTTTTCTGTCCTGGAGCTCTGGCTCTGTGAGAATGCCAAGATAAAATTAAGGCTCCAATGATATTAAAAAGAGGCTCTAAGAACCACAAAAACACAGATGGTTCTTCTTGTGAGTTCCAGACTCAGTTCTGTCAGCACCACCCTATCAACACACAGCTAAGTGCATAAGAGAAGGGGGCAGGTGTGTATTCTAATTTCCGAATATTCACATGTTCAATTCAAAACATACACAATAAACGGTCTCTTTCC